AAGAAGGTGGGGGGGGGGGCTGATCCTGAGAGCTTACACTCTAAGACAGTGGTTCTCAACCTGTGGATAACACAGTTGAGGGGGTCTCCACATGCCTCCTGCTGCGCTAGGTGAGAGGCTCTTCTGCCTCCTCCTAGCGCAGCAAAGTCAGTTCTCCAGCTGCGCCGCTAGATGGCGCTGCAACATTGGGGGGCCAGAGAGGATCAGAGAGAAGGGAGCGGGCAGGCGTAACACATCGTTTTATGTGTCATGTCTGGAGTGAGGGGAGGTGAGTGAAGTGATAGAACACCTGCTCTCTTGTAGAAGAATGGCCCACTATAGCTATGTGTGTACATACAGCACACTATATTAGCCTGCACTGGCCACCAGACAGCCAGCACTAGCCACCAGAGAGCCCGCACTGACCACCAGGGAGCCCCCGCTGACCACCAGATAGCTGCACTGACCGTGAGAGAGCCCCATTGCCCACCTGAGAGCCCCACTGACCACCTTTGCTTCCACACCGGCCACCTGAGAGCCCACACAGCCCAGTGATACAAAAGATACAGCCCAGCAGTATACCTAAAAAAATGGTTTCCTTAATAAAAATCTGTTTACTGGTGTTATGAATGGTATACGAGCAGGGGCGTAACTAGAAATCACAGGGCCCCATAGCAAAATTTTGTATGGGGCCCCGTGATTGCTAGTTATGCCCCTTGCAGTGCCCCAGCGGAGAGTGACCCAGCAGAGCCCACCATAGACCCAGCAGAGCCCTATAGTGGGCTCTGCAGGGTCTGAGATCTCTTACCTGTCAGCGCCTCTGTGGTCGCCGGGACCTTACTCCTGTTCCGTCCCTGGGCCCCGCCTCCTCTGTTTCGACGGTCCCCGCCTTCTCTTGTATCACTGGCCCCACCTGCTCTTAGGTCGCTGGCCAGTGATGTAAGAGGAGGTGGGCCCCGCCTCCTCCATTCCGAACACCGTCCTCATCTGCCGCAGCGGCTGGCTGTCACTGACACAGCGGCTATTAGGGGAAATGCTCCGTGGCCGCTGCTGAGCTGTGTCTGTGACAGCCAGCACCCCCACATGCCATAGCGACCCAGGCCGGGCCTCCCTGTGCCCGGGCCCCATAGCGTCCGCCTGGGTCGCTATGGCGATTGTTACGCCACTGTATACAAGTGTTTTGCAGTAACCGTGCAATGCTGCACTGATATGTATGTAAAGGAGGACACTCTCTATGAGGGAATGGTGGACCCCAAGCCGGCCCATCCCTCACTGTCTTTAGCAATGTTGGCTCTTTGGACTGAAGCCCAGTATGTGTGTTTCCCTCCTCAGATTCCCTCCTCAGATTCTGCCTTGGACCCTGACTCCTGACCCTCCAGTATCCTGTCTCTGCCTTGGACCCTGACTCCTGACCCTTACCCCTGAGGTCTCCCGATCTGTGGCTCCCGGCCCTTGCCGTTTGTATATAGTGTGGCTCTTATTTGTTTCATGCGGGTGGTGGTGGTATTGCCTGTGTTTATGTGGCTTGCGATAGCTATTAAATAGGGCTGTTACTGATTAAAATTTTCGTGTTCGATTAATCGGAAAAAAAATGTCATCGATTAATTATAACGCACATACAGATCCAACAACATTGGCCTATACACATACAGCACAGCAATGATGTAATAAAATGAACTAGGATCACACTAATCCAGCACGTTATTAATCTCACGTGCCCC